TAATATAATGTTGATATGATCATATATTACATTACTGAAAAAAAAAAGATGTTGAATCATGAAAATTATATTTTCATTTGCATATAGAATTCAAAAAACATCTTGACAAATTTTATCTATTATAAAACATAATGTATTCTGTAACAATAGTTAGTGATTTGTAATACTTTCACATCTCTTGGTAACCTCAAATATTGTTGAATTTTAGAACTAAATAAGTTGTATTATGGTTCATAATATTCGAGAACTTCCATATTCAATGTAATTAGCTTTGCTAAGTAATACCTATCTCAGAGTTTGCTCCATCCTGCCAATATTATCGAAATATTTGTTGACTTTGAAAGGTGATGCTTAGATTGAATATATTAATTGTCAAGATCTAAACGTTTGACATACATTACCTCAGTCATTTGAGAAATTCAGTAAATATTAGTCAGTTGTTTTTTGTTAAATACTGTCGTCAGCATGATTCAAGGACAATGTATGATGATATCAAAAGAAATTTGATCATTTATCTAAAACTTATATAATCGTCAAATAAAAAACATCTCATTTCAGAAAACAAAATGCAACAAGAAAACAATAATAATTCATGTTTTGAATGGATTCAATTATTCATAACAATTTCTATTCCTGTCGCTATTGGTGTTTATACGATATTAGAAAGTAAGCGTGATTTTGCAATAGAAACTCATAATCGTAAACAAGACCTTTATATAGCCGATGATCAACAAAAAGATTTAATTCTTCATGAATGTCAAAAAACATTAAGTAAATTAATTGAAAAATATGGTACAAAACTTAATAAAAGTTCATCCGCTTCAATTGTTGCTCGTTTTACAACACTTTCAGCATTAAATCGTCTTGATTCTAATCGACGAAATTTTCTCGTTCGTTTATTATATGAAGCTAAATTAATCACATATCGATCAGATGATTATCAACCACCAGTTTCACTTCAATCTGCTAATTTAACTGATTTAAATTTAATTGATGATGACTCTGAACAAAGAATATTAGTTCATCTTTCATTGGAAGGTACGATTATGACAAGAGCTGATTTTCATGAAATTAATATCCGTGGTGCAAGATTTCGAGATGCTATACTTATTAATGCTGATTTTTCTTGGACTTGGAATAGTCCAACATTCGATGATGAGATGAATACTTTTAAATATAATTCTTCAAAATTGTTTTTCGACAATGCAAATTTAACATCTGCTTCATTTTTTTCTGCTACATATGATAATGTTGATTTTACTCGTGTGATAATGATTCATGCTAATTTACATATGTTTTTCTGTGTCAATTGTTTATTTGATTCTGTTACTATGATTGAAGTAAATCTAGAAAATGCAGCTATTGAAAATTCTTCATTTATGTTTGCAAAACTTGACTATGCTAATTTATATCGATCAAAATTTGGTCTAAATGTTGATTTTTATGAGACGATTATGAATAATGTTAATGGTGCTTATACTAATTTTACAAAATGTGCATTAACTAAAACTAAATTAATGAATTCAATATTTGATTATGGTGTATTTATTGATAGTACCTTTTCATATGCATATATGTATAAAGTATCAATGAAATATTGTAGAGTAATCAATGGAAATTTTACGGGTGCAGATTTAAGTTATAGTGATTGGAGATATGCTCATTGTGAACGATGTATATTTAATCAAGCAAATTTGACAAATGCTAATTTATTTGGTGCAACATTTATTAAGAGTGATTTTCGATATTCTGAGATTGTGGAAAAACAATTATTACAAACTGCTTCTCTAGAATGGTCAATGCTTTCTATATGAAATGCATTTAATTACAAATGAAATTTTTGTAATATATTGATATGTTTTATATTGTAAATAATTTTTAATTTAGTTTTTGTTCATTTATAAATACTTAATGATGATCATAATCTTGAGTTAGTAAAACTTGAGATGTCGTATGTTTTTTCAAATCTGTGATGTGATTTAGTTTTTTTATGTTATATGGAATCTAGAAAAATTATACTTCGAACTATTTTTATATTTTACTGAATTGTATGTCTAACAGAATCAGAAAACAATGATCTATCTATTCTTCTTATTGACATACTATGGTGTCAGCTCATAATCCCGTATTTTTTGCAATGAATAGAATGATCTACCAAGATAAAAGTATCTTAAATCATTGTGAATCTGAAGAACTGGTAAATTATTCTAAAATTTCTCTTTCATACGGTATTAATGTCGGATTTTTATTTAAATGTCTTCTATTGTTTTTCAAATAATTTTTTATCGTTTCAAGCTATGTAGCTCAGGTTGTGATCATTCGAAAGAGCAACCTTGGAAATAACGATCCATATGAAATTTATTACGTTCAAAAATCTTCCTGATGATTATTTTTCAAGCTGATTTCGTTTTCTTTTTGTTGTCTATCTTCACAAGTTTTCATGATGATTTAACATTAAATTATGCCAAATTGTAGCTCAAATCTCATTGTACTTGTTGTAAAAATGTCACAACTTTTTATGGACGTCTTGACTTCTTTATTTGGTTATAGATTGTGCTCAAAACATGTTGTTTTTACCACAAATTCAATACGGTTTGGTCTAGAATTTGGCATAATTTCATATGAATCATCATGAAAACTCATGAAGATAGACAACAACAAAAAAACGAAATCAATTTGGAAATAATAATCAGAAAGGATTTTTTTAACGTAGGAAATTTCATAGGAACCGACGTTTCCAAGATTGCTCTTTCGAATTATTACAACCCGAATTACATAGTTTAAAACGATAAAAACTTGTACGATAAATAATGGAGGACATTCTAATAAAAATCCGACATTCGTTTCATTCTCAATTTTATTTAAATATTTATTCATGATTATTTCAGCCCTGTGCATTCCTTGACAAAACCTAGAAGTATCTTTGTGGATCCATAATCCGAAGAATTCGAGTATTTATCGTTTGCAGAATCTCTCATAGTGGAACATGTTCCTATTGAGCATTTCTTCAAGCTCGTGCTTTTGATATTTTTTTTTGCATTAAGAATGCAATATCCTACCAGGATCTTTACAAGAATGATAGAAAGGATTCTTTCGAGTTTTTATCAGATTTTGTCGACACCTATTCGATATCCTATTAAAGTTTCTGTCAGGAATCATAGCTATATCAGACAGAAATTTTCCTAAGAATAGAACAAGATGAGTAAGAATTCTGAATTGTTAAATTCTACTAAATTTTGATCAGGATTCTGTTTCAATTGCCATTTATGTTTGTCTTTTGGGAATATTTTCTGGACTTTTCTAGAACCAGCGTTTCTAGTCTTGAAAAAAATAATAGCAATCTTGATGAGACAATACAGAGATGTAGTTAAAATTTTTGCAGATTTATGTTTAGACTATACCAGACTTTGATATTCGAGGTCTTATCAAGAATTTAACCGATTCCATTAAGGATCTTAACAATAACAGACAAACTAGTTTCATCAGGCTTTTAGCTAGCTTTTGTTGAGGATTTGTTCAAAATTTTTATGAATTCAATATCATCTGACATTTAGGGAACAAAATTTATTATCTGTCCGATTTTATACAAGATAAAATTTGAATCATTATTATATTACAGTGTTAATATCAGATTCGTTGTTGCACTGAGTTTTTTTTTTTATAAAATTACTATTTTTAGTGACAATGAAAGCTTTCAGTAAAACTATTCTCAGTTTTATTTAACCGTTAAAAAAAACAAGGTTATCTAGACATTTTTTAAACTCGATTGGAGAACATGTCACAGCAGAAGTTTGTCAATTCAGAGTAATATTTTGAATTGAAATATTCCATATTTCAAATGTTTCTCGGGATAATTTGTGTTAACACAAAAATTCAACTACAAGTTAACGCTTCAGAGAGGATTAAGATATTGAAGATTCATTTTAATTATATGTAATAACATCGTACAGTATACTCGGCATGCTGATCGGTTCGTGAACTGAAGATCTACACATCAATAATCAGAGTTAATTTTACTTCTGTTGTGTTTAGAAAATCTTGCAAAGATCGTTTGAAGATATCTTATGGCGCACTCACAGAAGTCTAGTTTCCTTCTTTAACATACAACCAGTGGCTTTTATTTTAATTTAGAAATGTGTGAAGTTCTGTCAAGCTCTAGAAATCTCGAGACTACAAACTGTTTTCAGGCGTTTGTCGTATCCTAGAGAAAACGGACGAATCTGCGCCAGGTTCTCATTAGGTCTATAACAGATCTTTTATGGAAACACCAAAGATTTTCTAACTACTCATGATATGCATAGTAATTGAACCCACACAGGACTAAACAAACAAGCACGCAAAGATCTTATGGGTGTGGGATGGTCCATAGGGAAGATTCGGGAGTTTTTCAGAGATTTCAACACCAGCATCTATCCATCATCACGGGTGTGGGTGTGAGTGTGGATTAAAGTGAGTTCGTGTCACAGTTAATAACATGAACATTTACAAACATTCACGACACTATCATCTTCATCCATCCACACCCAAACTTGAGACCCTCTTATAACTAGACCCACACATATATTGCCATTAGTTATGTTGAATAAGTAACGAGAAATATGAGATAGTAAAATAGAAAAATCATAGCATTCGATTATTTTCTAATACAGTAATTAATTTTTGAATTACTTCAACATCAATTGTGTTATTGTTTAGATTTAATTGTGTGAGTGTCTGTGGTTATTGATGTAAATAAATTAAAAATTAATGAATGCAATATTTATCTTACACGATTTATCGTTAATGCATCAAATAAATATTCAGCTCCTAAGTCATATATTTGACTTCCACATAGATCCAGCTGTCTGAGTGTCTATGTAAAATGATAAACATATAAATATATGAATAAATAAATCAACTAATTATTATACTCTGTTATTTTTTAATGCATCAGCTAAATATTGTGCTCCTTGATTACCCATTTCATTCCATGCAAAGTTCAAACTTGTAAGCGTCTGTATCAAATGATAACAATCAATAATAAACAGATGAATAGAGTATTTATTTTACTTCATTGCTTTTTAATGCAATAGCTAGATATTGCACTCCTGAAGATCTGATTGCATTGGATTGAACATTTATAGTTGTGAGTGTCTGTCAAATGTTCACTGTAATATATACTCAGATCAATGATTTAAACGTCTGGATTCATGAGTTTCCCACGGTATCTCTCAGAAATGACGCCATTTCTGACCGAAAATGATAGAAACTAGGGACTAGAAAGCAGGAATCCGATGATCATATCTAGTTGCTGGTTCTGACCAATTACAGTTGATTTCGACAAGCACTGGATGAATTCGATCAACAGAGTGGATTCCTAACCTCAAGTGCCTACCATCGTCGAAGTTTTCTAGAGGGAACTAGTCGTGTCTCATTCATTTGGATAGCTCAGATAATAAGTATCTCACTTGATTAGTATGCAATGCAGTTGCTAGATATTGTGCTCCTTGATCACCAATATTATTCCATCCGAGACTCAGAGTCGTCAATCCCTAAGATGATTGATTAGTATAGATCAAATTGTATATAGAACAAATCTCACATGGTTATCTAGTAATGCATCACCTAGATATTTTGCTCCTTCAGCTCCAATATCATTTCTTTCAAGATTTAAGGTGGTAAGTGTCTGTGTCGAATGATAAATAATAAATATGAGATATTGATATATAGAAGTATATTCACTCGATTAAAATATAATTCACTAGCTAAATTTTTTACTTCTTCAAAACCCATTTCGGTTTTTGCAAGATTCAGTATTAAAAGTGTCTATAATTAACAGTAAAAATAAAAATGAATTTCGAGTCTACACAATTAATTTCACCTGATTATGTTGTAATCCATCAGCTAAATATTTGGCTCCATCGACGTCAATTTTATTTGATACGAGACTTAATGATGTAAGTGTCTATTTAGAATAATTAAATTCAATAGAAAATAGATAAGTAAAGTATATATCTTACTTTATTCTTTGATAATGCATGAGCTAGATGTTTAATTCCTTCTGCATCGATTAAATTTTCACAAAGATTCAGTGTTGTAAGTGCCTATATGTTAAATATTAATAATAGACATTAAATAGATGATTATTGTTATTTTCTCACTTGATTGTTCTGCAATGCATTTGCTAAGTATTGTGTTCCTTTTGAGCCAATACTATTTCCTTCAAGACCTAGTGTCATCAGTGTCTATATAAGTAACAAAAAAAACTACATATCACATAGATATTGATAGAGAAAATCTCAAATACATTTTTTGATTATCATATGATCTTAAGTTAATGCCAACAACAAAACTATGAGTAATGACAATAAGATTATTTATATTGGAAGAGAGATGTTTTTCTATTAGTTTATATCTATAGATATTGAAAGATTTTTTCTATAATATTTTATGAATATCGATTTAGACAATGATCTAGATGACAAACAACACAATCAGGATATGATATCTCAATTAGGATTGCCATATAGTTATTTTAGCTATAAACAACAGTGTTTCACTGTCATAATACGTACTACATTGTTTAATAGAAAAATACTAAAAGACAATTGCACATTATCTTTGTTATCCATTATGATTAGTCAGTATACAGATGTGTATGAATGAGAATACTGGATGAAAACCTCTTTCATATTCGAGTAGTCTAAGTATCATCCAGCACTTTTTTTCATAATCCATTAGTTTTTCATTTATTGGAATGTTTTCTATTATTCATCTTTAATTCAGTAAACTTCTCTATTTTCGATAAAGTAACTTTCATTTGACTCGTTTCTTCTTGGTTATATCAATGAAAAAACAATCAAAACACATCGGTAAAGTAGAAATATTTATCGTCTAAAACTATGAGAACATTTTTCACTTAATTGATCAATTACTGCTCAACATTATTATTTGAATATAAAACATGACTCTTAGTAGGTAAATACAAATCAAAATATAACTTTATCGATCTAGATTTCTTTGCAATAATTTATCTCACTTGATTAGTTTCCAATGCATCAGCTAACCATTTTGCTCCATTAGGACCAATATTGTTCCATCGAAGATTTAGTGTTCTAAGCGTCTGTATTCAATAAAAAAAACAAAGATGAAATTAATAATTCAAAATCCTATCTTACATTGTTTTTAGTTAATGCCATACTCAAATGTTTTGCTCCTGTAGGACCAATATCATTACATATAAGAATAAGAGTTGTGAGTGTCTGAATAGATATGAGTGATCATGAAATATTTCACAATAAATCAAAGTATTTTACTTGATTTCTTTCTAGTGAATCAGCTAGATATTTTGTTCCTTCAGGACCGATTTTGTTGACTTCCAAGTTTAGGGTTGTTAGTGTCTATATTGAATGATCAATATGAAATAATAAAGATTTTTATCTTACTCTATTATATTGTAATGCATTAGCTATATATTGTACACCTCTATTGCCAATATCATTAGTTGATAGATTTAGTGTAATCAATGTCTATGGTAAACAATAAATATCCATATAAGATAAATAATAATACTATTGTTTTACATTATTGGTATGTAATATATTGGTCAAATGTTGCAAGTTATTCTCAGGAAGTTCACCAACAGATAGCTTCAGTGTGTCACATGTCTGTTTGAAATATCAGTAGAAAATATAATATATTCAACAAATAAACAGATTCTTTTAAGTTTATTCTTTATATAAAAGTTGATGATTATAGAAGAATCACATTTAATAATTCATAGTGATTAAATGGAAGAAATTAGAAATATTCTGAGATTTACGACATATTTTATCTATAAGATGTAGAAACATTATTCATTATAGTGTGAGTTATATGAAAAGTTGAGTTGTTATGTCGACAATAAGATTTATCATGAAAAGTTGAACATCTATTCTTTCTGAAGAAAATAAAAATCTATCACTAACTCTAAATCATAAAATTCTCTGACATACTTTTTTCTTAGACTTTTTCAGGATTTAGAACAAAAGATATTCATCACTATTTTTGTTTCTTTACAGCTGCTTTTGACTTCATTTATTCACTAATTCTTCATTTACTTGCTTATAACAGACTGATGCAAAGTATCGAAAAAGGAAAATCTCGCATGTAACAATATTTGAAAACTATATATTCGAATTGTCCGTTCTATTATTCTTTATATTGAATGAGATAAACTTTATTAGAATATATTATTATATATAGTTAGTGATTGAGTGAATCAAATAACTATGTCAATATAACTGTAAAGATAAAGATAGCACCCTCACTAGTCAACATGCTGTACTTGATTCAATATTTCAGCCGTATTACAGATTACATTGTCAATGGTACTGATGGAATCATGTGACCTATCATGAAAAGTCATGTTGAATGATTGATTCTATTTTCTCATCTTCACTGTTATAAATATTACAACTTAACAAGATGAATCAGTCTAATGTAGTCAGTATCAATTAACAAAATTCAAACAAATAGCTTTCAAAAATCTTTCCATTTGAAAGTTTCATTTCAACCATTTTCTTTCTCGAGACTTTCGTATGTTTTATCTTAGTGTTTTTCTTTTCAAGCTTTTCTAAATAAATCGTTTGTAAATCAACATATGTACTTATACAAGTATTTATCATCCTCAAAAAAAGAAATCGGTGGTCATTTTCTCATTCTTTTTTTTTGTACCCATGTCGCATTTGAAAAATATATATGTATGTTCGAAATTACTTGTCATCTTCATCATTCATAACTCTCAATAATAACGATTTGTAAGGATTACTATTCTGATTTACTTGAGCGATTGCCCGTAAAATGTTTCACTGATTGATTGATTAAATCTTAAAAACGAGTAGAAGAAAACAGAAGTTTACCTGATACCGATTGTAAGTATCCACGATTGTATTGAGTCGCATGCAAACATTTCTCAATGAGAGAAAAATTGTTAATTCATCAAGATGATCCAGTATACGATAAACATTTTCGACGGGTAATGTAAGAAATGATGAAGAAACCTTGGCTGTCATTGACGTTCTTTTCTTTTTCTTTTGATATTTACACACGTAAGTGTTTAGGTCAGTATATGACTACACATATGTTTACTAAACACTTTTACGAAAATTTTGATGATGTGATGACGCCATTGGAAAAAAGAAAAGGAAGAAAATTATTAAATCAACTGTAAATTGCTATTATGTCCTTGGTATTTTATGTGAAACGTGGATTTATCTTGTTGGAAATTACCAACCAAACATTTGCGTTTTTTCGAAGGTTATAAGAAAGAAAGAGAAAAAAACAAAAGAAAGTTTTCGATAGGACACTTCCAATTAATACTTGAGTCATTAATGTAAATAAAAACAATAGCAATATATGGATCTTACATATATAAAACAAAACCACAACTACACATTGGTGATGAAAACATATATGATTCTTAGAGATACATATATTGGAGCTAAAAGAGGTCGCTAACACTGACACAATGACTATCAAAGTTGTTAATATAAAACCGTATCTTTGATTCTATTATATAATGACAACGAAAACTAATCAATAATATTTATTTTCAATGTTTTTCTACTGCCTTAAACTTTTAAAAAAAATATGCAAATAGTCCTATGAATAAAGAAATTTATCTACACTATCTATGAAAACCTGTACTTGGATTTTTCAACAGATTGTTTTATCTTAGACGAAAAACATGGTAGAGAACACGGAAATGTTTCATTGCATGGAGAATAGCACAAGTCTATCACTTTACGTAGCTCGAATGAAATGAAAGCTTCACATTTTAGATGTTGAAAAACTATATTTATGATTTTCTGAATATCTCATTCTTTGAGAATTTGCTAACCATTGATATTTATTTCATTCACTCTTGCCGTAAATAATTTTCACTACTTGAAGCATGTTTCAAACTGTTTTTAGCCTTGATGGAAGAAGAAAAAAATTCAAAAAACCAATGTTTTGAATAATTTTGGCAGCTAGATTGTGTGCAATCCATCAAGGGTCATTTTAAGATAGCTTTGTAATTACTATTGAATTATATTGTAAAATCTAAACAATCATCATTTTTTAATCCTGCTGAATAAACATAGGTGTCTGTTCATCAAAGAAATTTTAACATTTGAATGAAAGCATCGATCGATCACAAATTCGAGTCGACATACTGATGATGTCATCGTTTTTGAAAAAAAATAATAGAAAACAACGCTTAAACGGGAATTTTTAGAAAAGAAAAAACCCAATTTTTCGATTTGAGCGCATTCTTTTTTCATTTAAAACGCTTTTTTGTTAACTCAAAGCGTCACTTAAAAACAACTTTTTATGCGTTTAATTGCGTTTTTATTATTCTTTTACCGACAAAAAAAACGAATGTTGACACACGTGATAGAACATTGTCGTCTGTCTAACGCGATTTTTTTTTCTGGGAAAAAATTAACTATTTCAATTTGAATTCGTAATTTGACTAAAACCGATTTTTTTTTGTGAAACAAATCCGCTAATAATTATATAGACAAAAGTTTCATAATACTATACTCGAAGATATATCGCTTGAAGAGGACTATTCTTGAGAGAAATATTTAATAATTATAATTCAAAAGAATGGGTTTTACTGTTACGAAGGAAAGACATCCTTTGCGCAATAAACAGAATATAAGCTCAAATAAGTGAAACAATTTTATTTTGATTAGAAGAATCTCTTAGGCAAGTTGTAGAAGTTATAGATAATATGATACTATGACAACACACTCTGTTAAATTTTTTTTTCATGCAGTGTTTCTTTAGTAAATAAAAGACTGCTGAGAAATGTTTATTGCCTTGACCATAATAACTTATGAGTAATACTGATAACAATCATTCTTCATTTGTATTATTCATTTTTTGTTTCTTCATATTGCTTACTATGTTTTGTGTCTTTAAGAATTCAATTGAAGGCTTTTAGAAATATTGATTTATTTCTCATCTCTATTCGTGTCTCTTATCTCGAATTGAAGAACTTATAATGATATAGTGAAATTGAGTCAAACAAAAACATACGTAGTATTTTTTATTGGATAAATATTTTCACAAATATCTTTGTTTCGTTTTATTTATAAATTAAAAAATTCCGTTGTGTGAATATCAGTTGTTTTTTTTACAATCTTCAAAATTATATATCTGATAGATGACATTCATAGAATCCAATGATACGTAAGCATATATCTCTAAAGTGATAAGTTACATTCAAGAAAAGTTCAGATACATTAAGAGAAAAAAAAAGAGAATTAATAGAAAATTTATCGAATGAAAATGTTTTTTTTTTATATCAAGGTACTGCTTAGTTAGAAATATCAAACCAAAAAGCTCTAGATGAAAACTTAACAAATTGAAGTAAACTAATAAAAGAATAGATCTGACGAGGGAAGCTTCCCAAGTGATAAATCGTTTTCGAGGTCGGACTCTATACATTAGGTAGATTCAAGTGAAGTATGAAAAACTTCAAAAGGATACGTTCCCTTGGGTCTCCCATCTGAAATTATGACCATTTTAGCAGAGTTTTAGCCTATAGTTAGGTATGTACCAACAAATTGAATGGTGTTATTTTGAGCTAAAATTCTGTCCACAGATAGGTGTGCTCGTGGTTAGAATACCCTGAAAATTTCAGCTCAAAAGAATGTTTTCTTCTCGAGATATTGAATTTGCAAAAATCATAAGATTCGCACATCCTTCATGGTATATGAATACATTTTGGGAATTTAGTATCTCGAGAAGAAAACATTCTTTTGAGCTGAAATTTTCAGAGCATTCTAGGCACGAGCACACCTATCTGTAGACAAAATTTCAGCTCAAAATAACATCATTCGATTTGTTGGTACATATCTAGCTATAGGCTAAAATTCTACTAAAATGGTTATAACTTCAGATGGAAGACCCAAGGGAACGTATCCTTTTGAAGTTTTTCATACTTCACTGGGATCTACTTAATGCACAGAGACCGAACTCAAAAACGATTTATCGCTTGGAAAGCTTCCCTCGTTAATCATTACAACAAAATTCGAATGATAGTTGACATACTGAAGTGTTCCGTTCCATTACCATCTAACAAAAGGTTAAATATAAATCAATTAAAGGAGCATCGATATGAATCAATTTTGACATAGATTTTCCGAAAGAAATTGAATTCATGTACTGAATATTGATTAGATTGAGTAGCTAATTGACTTGAACATATTTGGTGATAATAAGATGAAAGCAAGATGATTCTATTATACTTAATATTTGCCTGTGAACACAAACAAATAAAACTACTTTATTCATTACTGTTAAGATGCTCAAAATAAAAGTAAAAAAAAGATTTAATAATTGTACTATAAGTTTGAAGAGTTAAACTAGTTAATGAGACCAAAACAAAACTTGAAATAATAATAAGAACAAGGATTAGACATGTGGCAAATAATTGATCAAAAAAAAGTAATAGCAATACATCATTATTGAAAACATACCATCTATTTTTTTTGCAACTTTAGTTCCATAGTCTGTGCATGGATTATTCATATACAATACATTTGATAGAGAACTTACATACATGTCTACTTAAATTACTATTTGGATTTGAGTTAATGGTATAGTGCGGTTAACTTGATATTTCTCTCTCTCTTCTGTTCTACTATAGTACGGATGACTCGTACTATAGATATGTACATGTATCCTTTTCTTCATATTCATATATTTTCCACAGCATTCTCTCTTTTTGATACTCTTAACATATTTTTCCTCTCGTTCACGTTCTATTAACTCACATTGATATCAAGTTATATTATCAAGAAATATGACAATAATTATTTAGCATTGTTATATCATGTATGAAGCAGATTAAGTATGGAGTTAATTAATAATATTCATATGTAATGAACGCTTAATTAGTAGACAAAGATTATAAGTCAATCTACATAAGTTACGACCGATTCTATTCAGTCCGAAATTCCAAACTTTTGCTTATGCCAGTTATCAGTCTTTAGTCAATAGTGCTTGGGGAAAATATTTGAGAAATATCTCATTAATTTCTTTGGAGAAAATCTATCTGAAAGGTAATTATCTATTGTAGCTCTATACAAATGTTAGAAGATTTTTTTTTGAAAAATTCTCAGATTTTGACAGAGAATTCCCGAATAAGACTAAAAAGTTTGAATCGGTGTCTGAAACAATAAGCTTTATAAAATGAAAAAAGTTTCATGCAAATCTATGCTTGGGATTGATTATCGTTCTATGGTAGGAGATCATAGCTCAAATAGAATGGCTGCTACATGGAATCTGTCATTCGATGAAGCTTTTTATTAACCTATGGAAGACATAAGAATATAAACAGTGAAAAAGTGCAACAGTAATGTAATGACTAATCAAGAATATGATTTGACTGTTCTCCAAATAAAAACTGAAAAATGACTCATATTAATTTACTGACCAGTATATGGAAAAGAAAACTCTATCGATTGCAACTGTGACAAGTACTATCGACTCAAAATCTGTTTTTTTTTTTTTCGAAAAAAAGAATGTAAAAGTCTAAGGAAATAATAATATTTATTTTTACTTTTTCTAGCAGTCAAAAAATAATAATATCTTAAAAAGTGGTAGATTTTGACTTTTGATTTATATGGTACTAGCACAAAATATCGAAAAAACAACTCATCATTTCTAAATTGACATTTTTTTTTTATTTTGTACTCAGTTCAAGGCTTTCGTTCTTCTATCATACATTTCTCGATTATTTATTTTTTTTTTGCTTTTCTTCAATAAAGTATATCGTTAATAATTTATTACAAATCAAACTTATATTTCATAATCAGATAGTTAGGCATATAGTACTCCAGATTTACCGTGTGTTGTATTTATATTGTAAGCTTTTTCTGATGTTTTTTTTGCCTCGAGTAAGACCTAATTATAAGTTATAAAAAGAACATTTTAATCAATTTGACTCTCTATCAAAATCAATCTTTTGACAAATTATTATATGAAATAATCTTTTTCAAATAAGAATAAACTATTA